AATGATCTGTCGTTATGGGAAAGATTTACAACGCTAGCAACTCCTCCAAAAGCAATATTTTTCTTCATCTCTTAGCTCTCTGAACTTCTTCTTTCATCAATGTTCATGGTTAATGTCGATATGGTAAGAACCATCTTTTGAATCGAATTTCATGTAGGAGAATCCTCAAATGAAGGTTATCACTTTATATTCATGACTAAATTCAGTTCATATATCCTCTATATATTAATTGAGGAGACACTAAACAGAAAATCATGTGTCACTCAATGAACAATTCAAAGGACACCTCATTTAAATTAATCAATCATAATATTTTATTTAAAACTATATGTCTTGGTGAAAATCTCTACATATTCTCATTACCTTTTTAACATAAGCTCATTAATACATGTTTTAAAAATATAAATTAAAGTAAATGTAATATTTTAGACTTACCATATCATCTATTTTTTTTATATACATGAACAAGTTTTCATTATCATATTTATAATAATATTATCTATTGTATATATATGTATTTGGATTAGTACACTATACAAATAATTTTATTATGATGTAATCTACATATTTAATCATACTTACAAATATCTGTACATTTCATTATTAGAAAACATATATTATTTTTTGTTTGTTATATCTAATAAATTCATATAAATCTAAACTTTATCATATTTATCGTATTCTCTATAATTTACACGAATAATAAAAATCAATTTTACACTTAAACATTTGCATATGTTTTGATTAATTTTACACAAAAAAATATTTAAACTAATTGCATTAATATATGTTTGATCAAAAGTATTGAATTTTATTATACTTATGCACAATACATATCATTTTTATACGTTTATAGATATTATAAATTATATACTTTGTCTTATGTTTAAATATATAAAAAAAATATTAAAATTTTTTAGTCAACCTATTAAATTATTTAATCTCGCGCTTGCCGAGGGGTCAAAATCTAGTATTCATATAGATTAAAACTTCATAAATTTGTTTTTTTATAAATTACCACATATATTTATTAATTCTACTTCTATACAAAATACATGATATCAATAGTCAACTAGTAACGAAAGAAAATCGTACAATACAACAATCTATGCATCTCATCACTGATGGAAGTACAGAATCACCAAAACAAATAATCAAATTTTGATAACCAAACTTATTCAATCGTAAATCTTACATTATATACTAAAGTAAGTGCTCGCATTCATCTATATATTTACTAAGTAAGTTCTCGCATTCATCTTACTCTTGAAGATCCATAACTTTCATTTTCAAGCAACCGAGTCCAAGCACCAGCAATAATAGTATGACCGTGAGAGTTCCAGTAACTCCTCAGGAGACATCCTCTCAAGCTCGTGATGTCTCCACGCCGCATAGTTGTTGTGGTTCTCTGTGTCAGAGGTCAGCGGATAAGCCTCAATCTTGTGTTTCTGAGTCCTCATTCTTGTGTACAATCTCATCGTTGCGACGCAATCCTCATAAGGATCTTGTATTCCCACATGAATATCATACCTTTGCAAGGGCAAGAAAGAATAAAATTACTATGTAAATGATCTAAATTTTATATCAAAATGATGAATTGGTATATTTTTGTTTAAAATTAACAAAGTAGTGTAAAATTTCAACCCTAAACTTTTAGTTCTATGACCGTAAAAAAACTGTAAATTCAACCTTAAACCATGAAAACTTAACAATATATATGCTCTAAAATCCAAATTTGAATTATAATCCGTAATCACTAAACCTAACTCATTCATTCTAAAAGCTAGAAAATATAAAATACTTCTTTAAGATTAATCATACTTTTGAATTTAGACTTTTTAACTATCCGAATTGAAGATATATATTCTAAGATTTTTTTTTTTTTTTGTCAATAATCACCATATAATTCTTAAAAAATTATTAAACTGATTTAGCATTTTTGTGTCATAAAGTACTTTAGGATATAACCTTTTAGGTACGAGAGGAGCAAATTAGACATACGAAACTTTTGGTTATGATGAATCAATCATATAAAATATGTGGTAGAGAACTAGAGACAGACAAATCGAACTTTGATATAGATAAGTTATTCGAGATATTCCATGGATTATCATCGGTTGATTTTATTCGAATTTTTAATAATAGTTTAAAGCTAATTAGCATATCGTACCCCACACGGTAATTAAAAACTTTTAATCACGTCAAAAGTACATCGGATACCTTCCTCTACTAGTAGTTTTTACGTCCGAATAACACACTCAACATACTAATTTTTTTTTGGGATTTTTTGAAAAATACTCTATTTATCTTTCTAAATTTGAAAAATACACTATTTTTTTTCTTTTTGAAAACTAGCTCTTTTTATATTTGAAAAGACTCTGTTATCCTAACTTGTATTAAAAATTACATATTATAATAAATCATATTTAAAATCCTTAAAACTATTACTAATAATACTATTTTAATCATAATTTGAGATAAAGTTGTTCTACTTATTCATAATTATCTCATTTCAGAATTTGATAAAAGAATACTTTTTTTTTTATTCTGTTGGTAAGTTGCATTGCTGTTGCAACTTGCAAGCGTAGAGGTTTTTTGTTGGAGCTTCTATTCTTCTCAAGCATAAAGCAGCAAAAATGTTGGTCAACACTCTATACGAATTAGTTTAAAAAAATCTTTTGCACTAGAGGATTCAGTTCCTTCCTCCCCACCCAAAAGACGCCATATCACATATAAAGACTTTCAAGATAAATCTTTGTGTAAAGCTTACCATTATAAATATACAGTTTAATTACATAGACCATCCAATGATAATTGACTTATAATTTTCTGATTGGTTTAAATGAACCAATAAATTGACTTATGAACACAATTTTCATTGTTTTAACAAAAAAAATTGGTGTGATCTTCCACACATGGTTCAGCATAACATAATGATAAATATTGTTAAATTTATAAAATCAAAATTTAAGATATTTAGATATTGTTTAAAAATAAAATTTTGTTAAAAATTAAGGATAATATTATCATCACATAATATATATATTATTATTCAGTTTTATTGATGTTATTTTAGTAAATTTAATATTTGAAGAGTGTATTTTTCAAAAAATAAAATAAAATGTGTATTTTTTTCAAAATTTAAAACACAAATGAGATATTTTTCCAAATTTCCTCTTTTTGTTTATAGAAACGTTCAAATGTATAATATTAAAATATGTTTACATGCATGGACTTGGTTTAGAAGATTAAATATTTTTCTAATTTAATATATATAATTATTGTAAGATAATCATGGAATCTTTAAAAGTCGTTTTCTTAGATCAACGAATATAATTTTCACGAACTATTACTATTTATAAAAATCGCATATGAGGAATGTTTGTAAATTATATTCAAAACAAAAAAAATTACCCGAGATAGGTTTGGGTTAAGTACTTCAGAGAGTTGCTAAGCTTGCTTGTTTTCATCAGTGGAGGGTATTCCGCAGTATCTCTATTGAACAACACGAAAACATCATAAATAAACCACATATAACTTACATAATGTAACAATTGAAAAACCAAAACATATATATATATCTCCATTTATTCATTTAGCAAAAAAAATCTACATTTATTCTCCAGTTTTTTTGTTTCTTCTTATGATTATGGAGTATGAAATGAAATCCAGACTAATTTATAAAATCTGTGACCATCTTTAATTTATTCGAAATTCACATTAACAAAAAATAGATCACCTAATTTTTTTTTTTTCACGTAACTTATCACAAAAGACCAAATAATGTCTCCGGGTACCGAGGAGATTATGAGCCAAAGGTTCAGAAATCCCACGGTTTATAAAAAAAAATCACAAAAGAATGAAATTTAAATTGAAAACGGTCAATATCTTTCTGATTGTACATATTCTTTTTATGTATCATACACTTTTTTTATTTATCTATTTTTATGAATATGTATTATGAATCAAAAACCAGACTAACCTGCATCAGTGGTGTGAAGAATGAAAATTGGCATTAGCTTTTAAAAAGTTGTTATGTCTGGTAAATGGTTTGATTTACCTTATCATGGACGAAGAATATTCAAGTTGAAGACAGTCAAGCTGGCTATCAAGTCCATGTCCCACGAGAATCCTTGCTTTCCCATTTCTTGGACGAATCTTCCACATTGGTTCTCCATTACAAAGAAACTCTTGAATCTTTCTCTGTGCTTGCTTCAATGGCATTGCACCCTTCAGATTCTCAGGCCGTATTCCTGTGGTCTCGTACCTGTAATTGGTCACATGCTTCGTTGGTTTCATGTACGTATGAAATATCACGTTTTCGCTCTCATCCGTTATGCACACCCTCGCGCATAGGTCAACCGATCCATCGCTTCCTCCTCCGACCATCTTGCACGAGAGCGTGACCACTCGTGGTGACTTAGAAGAAGTGTTGTCAATTGTAGGATTGTCTCGTAGCCCTAAGGCACCCATACGAGTATTTAGTCCCTGAAACGTTTCATAGATAGAAATATTATATGGTTTGCCTGAAACGTTTCATAGATAGAAATATTAGATGGTTTGTTTGCGTTATCGTATTTGTAATATCATCTTCTTCTGTTTTTGTAAATTGTAAATGTAGTTGAAGAAGAAATTTTGTTTACGTTTACAATTTGCATATTTTATGGTAAAAAATTGTTTTTGAAAGAAAAATATATCTTCACATGTAAATAGAACACATGATTATTATCTTTTGGCGTTTGAAGCAATCAAAACCTATGATGGAGTATATACTAAGTCATTTCTAAGATGCGAAGGTTATAATTACACAATTGACGTTTGAGAGCTGGCATCTCTCTTGATGGATCCTACGAGCGTTGGGACTTTCGAGGATCGTAAGACAAAATCTGCAGCCGCGGATGCTGAAAATGTTCTTACATTCTTGTTTCGGCAATGGCCCTAAACGATATAATTAAAAATAATATTAGAAAATGATCGAGATCAAAGAAAAATTGTTAAGTAGATGAATAAGGTTAGATATATACCAATGAGATGTTCACGGAGGGAGTCAAAAGATCGGCAATGTTTGTTACAAACGCCACAAGTAGGCTCATGAACTGAATGATAAGAGATCCTCATGTGTTCCACCAAGTGTTCTTTCTTGTTGAATTGCCTATAACACCCTTCACACTTGTTCCTGCATCCATGCATGCTTTTAAACATCATTTATTCATAATTGTATTGTTACTGATAACCAAAAGATTACAAAACGAAATCCAGATAAATCACTAAGGCTTAAAGTTTGTAGTAGAGTCTGGTATTCTTGCCATTTATATATGTGTATAGTGGCGGATTATGATTGAAATCGCAATGAAACTTATTTCACAATTTTAGTTTTTAACCTTATGTACAATTCTAACTAAAATACAAATTTTGTTAGTATATCCTAACATTACGTATAGTTCACGTCCAAAACTCTTATGTATACAATACATTTGATGTTGGTCGTAATTAAACCTTGTTCAATCCGATAAAAGATGATGTAAATATATTTTAAAAAAAAATCCAAAATCTTTCGCAAATAGAGTGCTTGATTTAACAGGTTTACCTTAGGGTTTCTGAGGACTCCATTGAAAATCTGTAGTCCATAGTAAATATCAGCAAACAGAAAGTTTTCGAGCAAAGATGAGAGCTTGATTTGAACGGGTTTACTCTTATTGTTTTTTTTTTATGTGTGCGTGGAGATTATTATAGAATCTATGAGAATGTGTTTATATATAGGCAAATCATGAGGAATAAAAGAACCCAAAAAAAAAAGATTAACAAAAAGCAAAGTTAGATGATTCCCTGACCATTCTATCATTTGATATTTCTTTGGATTATTTATACATATATATAAAGAAACAAAAGAAAGAAGAGGTGCTTCTCTAGTGTGGTTCTAATTTCATGGTACTTATAAATCATATATCAGATATCCTAATAGTAGTGCCAAAAAAAAAATATATATATATATATCCTAATAAAGTATTTCATCAAATGGATCAAGACCGGAACCTACCAAGGAGACCACTTCTATACAAGTAAAAAACTTTGAGTGGAAAAACATCATATGTTTGACCACTTTTAGTATCTCGTCCAAATAATCCTTCGCGGTGTGGGCACAATATTCTGGATGGATGGGGATAGTTACATCAGTGGCGGAGCCAAAATTATTTTTTGTCAGAGTCAATAAAAA